TAGATAGATAGATAGATAGATAGATAGATAGATAGATAGATAGATAGATAGCATATTTCCTGTAGGCAACTCATTGAACTCAGTGGGAAGCCTAAGACACTGAAAGTTCTTATGGCAATGTTCAAAGTTGCTGGGCTAGAAGGTAGAGGTGTAGCAATCTACAGGGATTCTCCAGTAATTTCTGCATTTACTGACGTTTGGGAACCATTGTCTATAAACACCAGCCACCACCACTTTGAAGCACTACATCCTGTTTGGGCTAAGAGAACCTCAAAGGAACATTTTTCTCTACTCTCTCTGAACCTCAGTGCTTAAACTTTTCTTTGTATTTCTAAAAATTATTTTTTTTTCTTTTTTTTTGTGATAGAGATAACTTAGAGAGGAAAATAGAAGTGTACATTTTCTTAAACCTCACTTTAAACTAGTTGTACAATTTGCCAATGTAATCTATTTTTTCTGAATTTTTTTTCCTTCTTTTCCTTTTGTTATCTTAACCTATTTTCCATTATTGACTGTGAAGATTATACAAGGCTCGCATCAGTATTAGTTCGAGAAATTCACTAGAATAATGATTCTTAAAAGAATCCAGGTTCTCTTGGTGGACTGAGCAGGAGTAAGTACCATCTTTTGATGTGTAAGTGAAGACTAAATAGAGCAGCATGGTTCCTACAGATCTCCTTCCCCCAGATTTTCATAAGTGATACTGTGGGTTTCAGAACAGAGAACTGGACCCCCTGCACTGTATCAGTGATAGAGAGATGGCCGGAGAAGCTTAATGTTTGCTTGTTGTGAAAGGGTCAAAAATAAGACTATGAATCTTGGACTTTATGCTACATCAGCTTTGTGATATTAGGCAAATTTCCAAACTGCTAGATTCATTTCCTCATTTATGAAATGTTAATGAGAATAGCATCCACTGTGAGGCATCATTTTGAGTAGGGCATGAGTTCATATAAAGTTTAGAGTGCGTAACAGAGTGGATAACAGGGCCAATGGAAGCATTTGGTCTTACTGTTATAGTTATCATTAACATTATTTCACGTTACTATCTTCCTCAAGAGTTTTCTTTAAAATCAACAATGACTCTGTGAATGGTTTGCCAAGATTCTATCTACATTTTTGTACAGAGTCCCCACCTCTTGTTTCTTGGCAAATGGATTTTGTCATTTATTCTTTCTAGAAATGTACCAAACGGGAGTCTGCACAGTACCCCACATTTCCCTTTTTAAATGCTCCATGTTTTAGGGAAACTGTTTAGTATCCAGTAGTTGGCATATAACCCAAAAGATAAAATAAAATAAGTAAGCCACGGGTGAGAGGGTATAGAAAATTGTTTCATGTAAGACTGACTTTACAACACTCATAGACAGCAGTTGATCAAGGGTGCAGGCAGACATCCACGCATCAAACTCTTCAGAGAAAGATTTGACGGACATAGTACTGGAAAATCTAACGTGAATATGGAGATCTTTAGTTTCAAGAAAGGAAGAATTCAAGCAAAGATTTTTGATCCCATAATACGTATGATTGTCTTTATGCTAAAATTGGCTGAAATGCATACGTAAAGGTATAATAGTTGTAAGCAATTTCGTTGAGACAGAGCCCTTCCTTTCCTTCATTTGTATCCTTGGATGGCATAATATTTCAATGGCCCTCCTGTACATTTTTTAACTTTTCTGGCTGAACTGCTAACATTATTTTGAAGTATTTAGTGATACTTTAAAAGAATTATAAATCTTTAGGTTCCTGGAGTAGCACTTGGCTAAGAATGAATTGGGAGTTTTGATGAGGGTGATAGTGGGGCCAGAGTGATGACTTACTTGGCTTCTTTATAGAGTAAGGTAGCTTGCAAAATGCCAGAGCAAGTAATTTAATATGGTAAATTTTCTCTTTTTAAAATGTGCGTTCATGGAGAAGATGATAGAGGTAAGTGGAAAGTAATTTAAACTGTGTTTTTCTAATGGATCTGTTTCCTACTCCAATGGCCCCAGAGAATTCTTTTGTTTAAAGCACATTAGCCTTGTTTTTCTGTTCTTCCTTTGTTTCATTCATTTGGAAAAAACACAAGGAACAGACTCATTTTCAAGGGATTATGCCAGCTCTGACTTCTCTTGTCATTCACATATAAGAACGAGTAGACAGCATCACAGAAAACCTGATAGACGCATGTTTTGTATCAATTGTGATTTTTAATAGTATGATTATCATCATTAGTTGTGAACTTGACGTATATCCTTGTGTAGTGACATCATGCTTTCCATTGCTGAATGCAACATGTGGCCATTTTAAAGCTCTTTTACTCTTTGGTTCTGTTTTGTTTTTTCCAGAGAGGGATTCTCTGTGTAGTCTTGAATGTCCTGGACTCACTTTGTAGGCCAGGCTGGCCTTGAATTCCGAGATCCACCTGCCTTTGCCTCCCTGAGTGCTGGGATTACAGGCATGTACTACCATGCCTGGCTTGTTTTACTGTTTGAAGAAATCTATCTAGCAGGTCTAACTATCTATTTTTTTAAAATTTTCTTTCAAAAACCTTTTTTTAAATTTTTTTATTAATTACACTCTATTCATTTTGTATCCCCCCCCATAAGCCCCTCCCTCCTCCCCTGCCGATCCCACCCTCCCTCCCCTTTCTGCATGCATGCCACTCCCCAAGTCCACTGATAGGGGAGGTTCTCCTCTTCTTTCTGATTTTAGTCTATCAGTTCTCATCAAAAGTGGCTGCATTGTCCTCTACTGTGGCCTGATAAGGCTGCTCCCCCCTCAGGGGGAAGTGATCAATGAGCAGGCCAATCAGATTATGTCAGAGGCAGTCCCTCTTCCCATTACTATGTAACCCACTGGGACACTGAAACTTTTTAATGGGGGGATCTTTTTTAATTAACAGTTGTTAATTCAGATGTCCTGCTAATTCAGATTTATGCTTCTGACTCTTCTGATTTTCTCATGTGCTTCAATTTTTCCTTAGTCACTTTTATAAATACAATTCCCCCAGCCTTCAAATAGTCACCAAAATGCTAACGTTTCTTTATATGATTTTTTTTAGTGCTGAGGCTAAGCTGAAGCCTGATACCTCTCAACTGTGAAAGACCAGATTCCTTTGATTCTTTTGCTTTCTTTCTTCTCCTTGTTCTGTGGGTATTGTCTCTGAGAATGGGCCCAAGGTGTATAAACTGACCTTGTGAGGTATGCAGAAGGCATCATGGTAGCATTAATTCTGGGTGGAGAAGAAATGAGGGCATGGTATAACCAACTGCTGTTGGTAGATGGAAGCATTGTTGGAAGATTACCTACTCATCTGGTCTTGCCTTTTTCATGTCTTCCCCCACCCCATTTTTATTACTTTTACTTTTTTTTTCCTATATGGCTTACTTGAATATTTTTCTGTTTGCTAATTTTTTGTTTTATAGTCATGGGTCCTATAGTGGTTAGCTTTCATCATTTTAATATGTGTTTAAATATCCTGTTTGGTTTAGTAGCTATTAAAGAAGTTTGCTTTTTTCATATCTGATTTACACTGAGGACTAACACTGAACAGAAAACTGTTGATAAGAAGTTTTATAGCTAAAGCTGTACAAGCTATCTGTACCATGACAGAAACCCAAGAAGCTTAAAAACCAAGGGAATCTATTTCTAGAAGATTATAACTCCTCAGGTGCTCTGTCTAAAGATGTAAAGTGATTGGAACTTCAAAGAAATAATTCAAAGGTCTTCTTATAAAAATCAAACAGCTTCAAATGCATAGAAATCAACAAAATTAATTAGGATAAAAATAAGTACATGGACACTATGGTAAATCAATCTACAGCCTGGATTAGAATGTTTGTATTATAGAAGAAAAGCTTAGGAATGTGACTGAGACCTTCAGTAGGGACATTGAGATTAAAACAACAACAAACAAAACAAAACTAAGCAAACACAAATAAAATAATTTGAAAAGTTAATAAACAAAGATTGCAGTGGAATGCATCACCAGATCAGTCAGAAGAAATAGTATGAGAGACAAGACAAAGGAAAGGAAATGCAACATTACAACATCAACAAAAAGTAAAAAGAACTAGGAACCAAAGTAACTTTGAGGAACATGTTAAAGACACAAAACTTTAAAAGTCTTGAAGTGGAAGAAAGAGATGATATTAAAACCAACATACATGGGAAATATACTCGGTGACATTATGGGGGGAAACTCCCTAAATCTAGGGAAAGAAGTGGACATCTAGGCATAATAAGAAATTAGAACCCCAAACAGACATGACTGAAAAGGACCTCTCTACAATGTATTACTAGATAAATACTATAATCAGAGAACAAAGAAACCCCACTGAAAACTATAAGAAAAAAAAATGTCCAAATCACAAAGATATACCCATTAGAATAGCTAAAAAGTCAGGTTGGAATTTCAAACAAATAATTCACAGGTCTTCTTATAAAAATCAACAAAATTATGTAGGATAAAAGTAGATATATGAACACTATGGGAAATCAATCGAGGGCCTGGATAAGAATGTTGGTAATGTAGAAGAGAAGGTTAGGAATGTGACTGAAGCATTCAGTAAGGACATTTGAGATTAAATCAATGATAAAGTTCAAGCTGTGAAAATAAATGATGACCAGCTAACCAAGGTGATCCTATCCCACAAAGTTATCTTTTAAAATTAATGGGAATCTTATATGTAAAAGTTACTGAAATCTGTGACCACTAATCCTGCATTGCAGAAGACATATAAAGGGATGCTGCATAGAGAGGGTGAGA